AAGAACAGAGTATGTGTTCTCACTCGTAAGCAGACGTTGAACAATTATCATAACACTGAAAGAAAGGGATTGGCAGTTGAGGGAAACTCCCAGGGAAAGAGGGGCACACCTCATCAACAAGGGTACCTGCATAATGAACACTTGTATACCTAACCCTGAATTGTACACCACATCTTTACAATAAAGAAAAAATAATAATTTTTTTTTAAGAACCACACATAAAAAAAGACAAGCAAAACAGGGAACTAGATTATAGCAACAGAAATTTAGATAAAACATAAGAAAAAAACACCCAACTTCCTAGTAATGTTTGTAAATTCCTGGGTTATGCTGCCCTTAGAAATAAGACCTATGAACAGTCATCACTGAGTGAGTTTTCATCAATGGGTCCTTACAGTTTCATGGTACTGGTTAAATGATGAGGCATCCGGGCAGACTGGTGGAGTGGTTGCCCTTGCTGTGAGGTGGGATAGTTTTGCTGAACCCCATTTACTAGGGAGAAGCTTCTAGAAGCCCCATGACATGTTGAATGAATGAATGACAGCCCTTTGGATGAGTGAAAGGTGATGCCAAAGAGTAGTTTTCTGGTCAGATCAGTCTCATAGTGGTAAATCAGAAAATATGAGTGGGGGATCAGAGGCCACAGCTGCCGTTTCCTCTTCCTGGTTGTTTCTTGATTACATTCATTCATCAAGGACTTTTTGAGCCCCTGCTGTGGGTCAGGTATCAGACAGGTCCTAGAGATAAAGCAGTGGTTCTGGATCAGGGATGACTTTGCCCCTCAGGGGACACTTAGCAATGTCTGAAGACAATTTTGTCATCTCTAAAATTTTGTCATCTTTCAGGAAGAGGCCAAGGATGTTGCTGAACATCTGGCAATGCAAAGGACAGCCCCCAGCCCCCGAAAGAGAATCATCCAGCCCCAAATGTCAATAGTACTGAGGTTAAGAAACCTTGAGAGTAATAAGATTCAGTTCTTTCTATCAAAGAATTCAGTCTGTTCATTGTGGTGTTTTTAAATGTGGCTTGAAATGTGTCTTAATGAAAATTTCTACATTGAAGAAAAATCTTCAAATTTGTTCTTTGCAGTGACCACAAATTAGACCACATTTCCAGTACCATTCAGGACTGACGGCATGGCTCTATTGATGCAATAAAGGTTCATTACATTCTCACTAATTGCCTGAATTACCAAACCTTAGATTTAAAAAGATATGTATTTACCAGACGAAGGACTGTTTCCAGGTGACCTTCATCATACTTATCAGCAGAGTGAGCCTGTGGTTTTATCTAAGCATACATATAGAATACATTTGGGTGTACAATAACTTGCAGGTTGAATTAATATAGTAAACTTCTCAACAGTTCATCTCCTTCAACTTGGACTTGCGCGTAATCTCAACAGGGCATAGCTCAAAATCTCACTTTGCTTAGAAATTTCCTGGTGTAGTAACAGTTGCGGGTGAGTTATTTGCAACACTGTGGAACTACTTCTTTCGAGCACTCATATATACTACTTACTATAAAATGAACCAATATGTTAATTAAAATAAATGATCAATTTATTTAAATGGCACCCTAAGGACCTCAAACACACCCTATTTTGTCTTGCCAATGTGGGAGGTCAGTTATTTCGCCTGGTGGTAGTGAACTGTTGTGGAAAACTGCCTTTTTTATTTAATGAGGAGTAAAGTCTGCCAGAATGACCTTGAAGGCTTTTTCCCCTGCTGTTAAAGTTTCCAGCTTAGCAGCTTTGCAGTGGGGCTTTTAGAGGCTTGGCTTCTCTACCCTTCAGCTTGCAGTCTCCCCTTTACCAATGTGCCAAGTGCTCTGGGCATTCCAGTTAACTGGAATGATCCTGAAAAGAACTGAAGAAAAACTGTAAAGCAGACACTTCACTAATTCATACTGGTTTTTGCCCCTAAAGGATTCAAATTCCTGTGGGTTCATTGGGCTGTAGACCCAATATTTAAGAATATCACAACTGACATATTTTTATGTTGTTGATGCTTAAAAACTGAAAGCAGAAAACTTCTCAGCCTCAATTTCCTCACATGAATCTAAATCCTTTCCTGCTCTGTTTTATTATTATGCTATTTATGAAGATAATAAGTATATTGACATTCGCTCAGTAATTGGCTTCTCTCTCCCTCCCTCTCTCCCTCTTTCTCCTTCCTTCCTTCTTTTTTCTTTCTGCTTGGAGTTTTGACCATTACAGACATGTTTTTCGTGCTAAAAGTGTGAGAGTTTTGTCTTTGAATTTAAACAAATCTTTGACCTCATTTTAGAATTTTCTACTCACTGTAAAGGATTTCCTTGACTTCTTGTATCTTCTTTAAATCTTTTATTTCCCTTCCTAGATCAACTAGTTTTTACTCTGTCAGGAGGTTCGCTATTCCCCAAATATTGATCTTCACAACTTGTTCCCATTTTTTATCATTTCTGAACTAAAGCCAGCTGAAGCCAGTGTGACAATTCTGTGCACATTTGAACATTCCCTAAATATCCCTGAAAGGCTGATCTTTAGGCTGATTGGCCTGAAGCATTTTTGAGAAGTGATGTGAATTAAGTCATCAGAAAAAGCCTGATGGAAATCCTGCATGACCAAGACCCGAACATAGGTTTACTGGACACAGCTCTGAGGGGTGAGGAGATAAGAATGACGACAGCCAGTTGAATTTCCAAAAAGGAAAATCATGGGGCCCAGGCATTTGCTGGTGACCCACTTTGGGAGTCCCGTGGGGATCACATACCTCAGACCAAAAACAGGGCTCCAGGCAAATGGCTCTGAAAGGGTTGTAAGAAAGGCTGCAAGCTTCTGGCTGGGAAAGGGACATGGAGCTAGACCTTAAGGAAACCCTGGGCTCACTCTAGCCACAGCAATGGGCCCTTCTCTCCTCCTGCTTCCCTGGCCTGCATGTAGCCAGGCAGATTGGATTTGTTTCCATCAAAGGACAGGAACAAAGGCAGGCACAACCCTGGTCCCAAGATAACACTCTGTGTGCAGCCTTCACATATCTCAATGAGCAAGTTTTCCAAGGCCACAGCCAGTCCCCACAACAATAACTTCACCCCCAAAGGCCCCCAGTGTTGAATAGCAAGGACTACAAATGGGTATCACTGGAGTTGGTGGGTAGACCTGCTCCAGGAGTCCATCCCCGGACTGGACGCTTTCCCACACTGGCTCAACATTCAGGGTTGGCTATGGAGCCAGCCTTTGTCACCCAACCAGAGCTGCCATCTGAAGAGAAAAGGGCATCTCAGATACAACTAAGAGGAATTTGTGGCTTGAGGTTTATAAGGTAATTACAGGCTACCAATACCTTCCTCTCCTCTTGCATGTTGCTCAGGTTTAAGCACTTGCTTCTAAAGGGTAAACTGTGAATTTTGCACCCTCAAAGCCAGATAATCAGCAGTTCTTCCCAGTACATTGTGAAGACACGGGCTCTACCGGCTGGTGTCGGAAAGCTGCCCAGTGCTGTGGTAGCAACAGAAACAGCTGCAAGCATGGGGAGAAAAGACAACAGGTGAATGGGAATGCCAGTGCCTGGGCACCTTTGTGTTTGATTTGAAACGAGAAGACACGTGCCTGCTCAGGAAACATGGCCAGAAACCCACACCAGGAATGAAAGCAGAAAAAGAGTGAACCATGCAGGAGCTGAAAGGATGGAGTCTGGCTGATGCTGTAGACTGAGACTAGTCAGTCTGATGAGAAATAGCTTTTTAATCACCCTTTGAAAAGGAAAATGGTCACACTTTGAAAAGGAAATTTTAACAACACAGGAAAAGAACAGGAGAAATAAAATCCACTCTGGGTGCATGATACAGGGCCAGCTAAAGCTGTAACCCTATACACAGAGGGCCTGGTAATAAAAGAACAATCTCACAACTGCTTTTCCTCCTGTTCACGTTCACTATAACAGCTGGATGCATACTAATTGCAAGAAGTGAAAAAAAGAGCTTCAAGTTTAAAAGCAGGCATGCAATAATCAGTCTCTCGCCAGCACCATTTCAGACACAAGTGTGATGTGCCACCTAGCAAGTCTATTTTAAATGTACATTCACAGTTCCTCATTTGTGTGGGTGGTCTTGTGCTGTCAGCGAAGAGCAACACCCTGTTCTCTCCTTCTAGGCGCATGGTTTCTATCTACCAAGAAATGGCTTCTCCAGGGCATCTCAGCCTCGGCACTACTGACATTTCGGGTTGGATCATTCTTTGCTGTGGGGGCTGTTCTGTGCACTCTAGAATGTCTAGAAGCATCCTTAGTCTGTACTCACTAGAGGCCAGTAGCGAGCCCTCCCCCTAGCTGCAACAACCAAAAGTGTTTCCAGACAGTGTCAGATGTCCTCCCGAGGGGAAATCACCTCTATTTGAGAATCACTAAACTAAAAGAAGAATGACTTTCTCTTTCCTCGACCTCACCCCCACAGATCTCTATGCAAGGCTGTGAAAATGTATGAGACATCTCCAGATCCACCAGCAACGGACTTTCCTCTGGTTCTGAGTGACCTACAGTAGTACTTCTGACTTGCAAGATTTCCAGTCATTGAGAACAATATTCCATTGCTCTTGAAAAGAAGGCTCTTTCCAGCTAAACACAGGGGAGGGGGGGGAAGGGAGGGAAGCAAGTTACTTTTCCTTTTTGAGACATTTGTCTGTTTTAGTCTTTGGAAGGTACAGGCACAGAATTCTACAAAAGCAAGAACTATGTGCACTGGAAGGGGCCTCGGGCACTTGAAACTCACCTTCCTTGAGCAGTCTCTTTGCCATAGTTTTACAAATTAAAAACAAACCCGAGGCTTAGAGGGGGAAGTGACTTGCTCAAGGTCATACATATTTCTAATCCTTCTTTTACAAGGGCAAAGGGAAATACTTCCCAATTTGCCTGAAGAGTTTAGGTCTCTAGACACAGATAACTTACAGCTTTTTACAAGCAAGAGTTCGACCAAAATCATGCTCAGGAATGCAAAGTTTATAAATGACAGAATACTGCAACCAATTAGTGCAAACAAACATTTATTGTGAAATATTCATCCTACCCTTTATTAGGTATTACATCATCAAAGCACTTTGTGGCAATGAAAATAGCTTTTTTTTACCCCTCTGATTCACCCAATATTCCATTAAAGCTGCAAAAAATGTGCAATCTGCTTGAAAAATAGGTTGCTCTTATTTACTCATTTGTGAAAAGTCAAAAATTAAAAAAGAAAATGACACTAGCTTACAGGGCCTCTAGAGCCAATTCACCTTTCCATTTCCCAACTACTCCCCGAAATAATTAACAAAGATAATTTGCTTTAAATGCCTTTTTATAAAACCAATGCACCTTTCCCCATATTATAATCATAAAAATTTTAAAAAGCCATTATTTACTTTCTTGGAAAAAAGGTGGCCAGCCGTTGTTTTTTGATTGGGAGCATATGTATTTCCTGGGAGTTCACTTTCTTTAACTTTATGCTCCGGTTTTTGACGGGTTTCCTAAGGGGCTCTGCGTTTCCCATGGACTCTTCCTCTTGGCTGTTGATGTCATAGCCCTGAAGCATGGAGTCTTCTCTTTTGAAGGAGAAGTTTTTGGTGGACACCCCCGAGAGGCCTTTGATCTTGCCACAGAATATGGTAGGCACAGAGTCTTCGACTGAGACAATGACCTTGGCCGCCTGCGACTCACTTACAATCTCAATGTTATTTTCAGCCTTGACCTCGCCACTGGATTGGCTTGGCTGGCTGAGCATCTCAGTGGTGGCATCACTGCTGCTCATGTGGCTATCCACTGTCGCTGAGGCCTCATGGGGTGTGACAGGGGTAAAGGGAATTTCCATGCTACCGGAAAGTTTCTCTATCACGGCGTGACCTGGGTTCTCCACTGATCCACTGCTGTCATACAGTGTCTCGGGAAGAGGATCTGATTTCCGGTGGGCTGCCAGTGACAAGTCTAGGGCTGCATCTTCCTGGAATATTTGGGGACTGACTTCACCAGTCTTGAACCAGGGCACTGATTTCATGGAGAGATCCAGGGCCTCATTCTCATTCCCCATCTTAATGACCGTGTGGCGGCTGAGCTGGAAGTACTCCTTGGGCTGGAGGATGTCAAAAGACTTCAGTTCATCCTTTTCCAGAGAAGTCTGGGTGCCTTTAAAGGGGTGCAGGCCAAAGGAAGATGGCGGCTTGGGGAAACTGGGACTGAACTTGGATTCAGAACTCTGAGGTACCGGGATGGGGATTGGAATGGGGACCGGCACAGGCAAGGGAACGATCACAGGGTAGGGTACCAAGAGGGTGGCTGGTGGGACAAGGGGGGACAAAGGGGAGTTAAAGGGCTGTGGGGGGACAGGAGCATAGCCAGGAGGAGGCTGACAAGGCGGGGGGCCAAGGGCACCCTGGGAGGGAAACAAATTCTGGAGCACAGCTTCGAATGGCAATGTAGGCTCCTGCGGCTGGCTGGGGATTCTTAGGTCCAGGAGCTGGGGCTGAGCCACAGGGTCCTCGGCTCCTTGGAAGAGGTTGTTGTGGATGGCATTGGAGGAGCATGGGGTCTCCTGAGGCAGGACCAGAGGAGAGTTGAGGTGCTGGAAGACATGCTGCTCCAGCACCACAGGCAACTGCATGGGGCCCTGCGTGGTCATGACGTAGGTGGTGTTGCTGTTGGGGTTGAGCTCTGGTGCAGAGCCTCCCTCCACCTGCATGTGAATGGGCATCACCACCGGGCTCTCCCCGAGGCAAAGGGGCTGCAGCACAGTGGCCGCCACCTTCAAAGCCATACCACTCTGGGACTCGGCAGGGGGGTTCAGAATGGATGGAGCTGGCACGGTCACCAGAGCCTTCTTTACCAGGTCAGTGGAGTTTATGTTCCAGGCCTCAGTGGTGATCAGCTGGGCCATGCCATTCTCCAGTCTGTTATTGGTCAAGGCAGGAGGGGAGTCAGTCATGTCCATGGAGAGGTTCTGGGACTGCAGATCGTCCATCACTCGGCTCTGATGTCACTTGGTCTGCAACACAGAACACACAGTGTGATCCTTCCTTAAGAGATACAATTGCCTTAAAAGCTCTCTCCCCATCTTTAGAGAGCTTCCACATCTTAGTTAACTGGGGAGCACAACTTAACCTTCTATTGGCACGTACATGTTATAGGTATCTCCTAGTATACACAAACATACTGATATGATCAGCTGTGCATGGAGAGCCTCAAATTAACAGATGATTAAGCTATAAACACAGAGGATGTAATCAGTAATGTCAAGTGAGGTTAAACACGATATTTTTAAGCATAATTCTCAGGTTATATGTTTAGCTTTCAACAAAAACAAAGTTTCATTCTACATTGCTATGTGAGACAGTTAAGATATTCAGAAATTTGACTTGTTCAAACTCGAATAAGCAACAAAGACTTAATTTCCTTTAAGGGAAAAACAAAACAAAATCTTGAACATTTGAATATTGTATAAATATGGAAAGGATATTTTAAAAACTCTTAGTAGCAACGATTCTTCCAAAAGTGATTTGATGAGAGAAAGAGCAGTGACTTTACACAAGGGTCATCACAGTTGTCTCACTGTTTCTTTCCGACAAATGACATCCCCATTCTTCCCAATAACAGGAAAATACAGTCCCCAGAGCAAGGTGAAGCTGGGATGATGGCTTGCATGAGGAGGATCATTGGGTCCAGCACCACTTTTCCAATCAGCCCATCTGTCTAACCTGTGGCCTCTCCTGACATTTAGCTGCTAAAAGGAGGAGACACTGATGAGTGTAGGGCTGGGGAAACAAAACACTTGTTGGAAACAACAATCCTGAAAGGTCATCCCTGCTTTCTTGATGTCCTCGGCAAGTCCTGCAGACCTCTGGGCCACATCCTGAGAAGCCAAAGGAGCCCAGTGCATGTGCTTCCTAGAGGAAGCAGGGCTGCAGCTGCAACAGGGCTCTCCATGGAAACGCGTCCATATTTAGCCTCGTTATCATGGAGAAGGCAGGCACCATGTCTAACTCAGGGATCTGTGTAGCTCTGAAGTCTGATTGGGCTCAATAATAATTCAATAATCCTAAGTTTCACTGGGCAGGCCTTGGACAACTCAGATTCTTGACCTTGCCTGTCCCAGCCATCTAGACTTTAGTCCTGTGGTCTTCTCGTCCTCCTCTCTGCATCACCAAATTACCAACACAACCTTCAACACAAGAAAGGGAGGTGGCACATCACACCATGGGGTTAGATATAAACAAACAATGTCTCACTCAGGAACGCAGCTTTAACAAATGAACAACTTGGTGATATTTCCAGGCGATCAAAATGTGTCAAATGTAAAGAATAAGGAGTTTCTCTGAGGTGGGGAGTGGGGGGCAAGGGGAAGGGAAGGATGTCAGGCAAACAACTTTGTAGAGAATGACTAATGGGCCATGCCCTTGGCAGGGTGCCTCCAAGTGAGGACTCCAGAGCTGTCTCCCTATGGGCAGTGTGCCCTCTGGAAACCACGAGGTGACCCAGTAAGGCAGCCAATAACCCCCTTGGGGCAGAGCTGGAAGACTGCCTGGCCTCAGAAAGGCTGAGGGGGCTTGTCCCAGCTGAAGGGCCTGATTCTTCATGAGAATAGTGCTTCCTGGTTTAGCTCAGAAAACACTATACCTCTAATATACCACTCATTCATGCACACATGCATACATTCATTTATTCACTCATCCTATCAATTAATTCACTGAATTGCCCACTTCATACCAGCACTTTGTTGAGGACTGGATATGGAATCATGAGTGAGATAGACAAGGTTCCTGCTTTCATGTAGATTACAATCTGGTGGAGGTACATATCTTTGATCAAAGATTTGCTAGCATGTGAAGGCATCGAAGTTATGCCAGGAAAGCCAGCGACATCAGTAGGACAAATCTTTGTTGGACACTTGCACGCAGCCCTGTGAAAACCCTGAGAACCTAGGGCTAGTCCCTTATAGCAGCCAGAACCCTCAGGAAGGGTAAGAAAACGTTCAACGGATACTGTGGTGTGGCCAGTGAGGACAAGACAGCAATGGTCAGAGAAAGTACCTGCAGCCACCCATCTGAGGAGAACTCTGATGGTGAGAGGCACCTCAGAAAAAATCAAGACATGTTCTGAGCCATATTTGGGATTTCCTTGGGATTATCTAACTGTGAGACTGATTTCTCACAATAGCTGCATCTGTTCACCCTTCCAGAAATGTTGGCCTCCCTGTCTGCTTCCTTCAACCTTCTCCCAAGGGAGAGAAAGCAAACTTCTGAATGTTTCCTCCACTCATTCCTCACACACATCTTCAGCTCAGGTGCTAGCTCTCATCATTCTGGTGAAAACTCACTCCCCTGCCTGGCCCTGGTCTAGACCTGCTGACTACCCCAGAAGCTCCTTCTCGGAGTGTGAAGAGAGGACCTTGCCAGGACAGTGTACTTCCCACTGGCCCTTACTCCTCCTACAGATGCAAGAGCTAAAACACTGAGCATTTGCTATGTGCCAGGACCTCTGCAGAGAACTTCCCGGGCATTAACTCATGCAGTCCTCAGAACAACTCTGCCATAGAGGCCCTATAATGAAGCCCATTTTGTTGGGGGGAAAACTGATTTCACAGGGAGGTTAAATAACTAGCCTAAGGGTACACTGAGGCCAGGCTTAGAGTTCAAGGCCAATCTCAGGCTCCTCTCTCCTTTTGGGAACTGTCAAGGCCATGCCCCTCCATGCATTTTGTTTTCTGACAAAAGCAGTCCCATAGTCTCCCCTTCAACACTGAGTGCATGTGCCTGCAAGGGCATGCAAGAAAGAGTACTTGAGAGTTACATTTCTTCAAAATGGAGGCCAAGGCCTTTCCAGTGTAATTCATCAAACAGTTGTTCTTTCTTTTTTCTCCACAAGGGATCTCCTCTGGTCCCCAAATCGTGTCCTTGGAGAGTGTGACCTGAAATGTCTTATGGTTCCATTACTAGAGGACCTGGACAGCCTCCATCCTCTCAGGCTACTTCCAGTTACCCACCTGACTCCAGCCTGCCTTCCTGACAGATGTCACATGTCTGGGAAGGCATTTCAGCACCCATGAGTTACAGAGAGGCACTCAGGTCCCCTGCTGGGGCATCCAAGTCTCTGGGAACTAGGTGTCTCAGGAACAAAGAGGGAAAAAAAGCTCTTGGTCCAAACTTCACTTCCACCTCCTCTGATATGACAGCTGGGGATCTGCCTGACGACTCAGCCAAAGTAGACCTGTGAGTGCCCCAGCCCCTTCCCTAAAGAGCCATTGTCCCACTGAGACAGACTTGCATTCTTCCACCCATTCCCCACTAGGTATGGCACTGACCCCAGGGATACCCAGGCAAAAGAAACATGAACTCAGCCTTCATAGTGCACCACCCTTTCACCTCCCGGAAAACTTCTTTCCCTCTTTTTCTCTGCACCTCCTCCCCTTGTTGTTCAACTTGCCAGCAGGCACACCCTTCCAACTCTGAGTCACCAGCCGAGGGGGTCTGGGTGCATCCAGTCGGGGCACAGTAGTTGTCACTGCTGCAGGAATCAGTACTGGAAGCCTCAGCGATGCCCTGAGAATAAAAACTAGCTCATGAATTGAGGGTTCAAAGGGCAGGTCTGCATCTCCAAGGACAAGCTGATAAGCCAGATAATGACTGGAGAGAAGGTGGAGGCCCGCCCTCCCACTTAGTCAAGCTGCTGATTAGCGTGGGCAGAGGGTGAACTGGGTACCTCTTCAAATCAAAGAGCATCACAGAAGCCGACTAACGCTCAAGCCAAGGGGGCGTGAATTTCTTCAGAGGTGACAGGGAATGTTTTATTTGGGTTTGGCAAAGCATCATTTTCAAATGGGTTTAATGAGGTCACCCATTCGTTCCACCTGTGCTCATTATCACTGGGGCTGTGAGGGAGGGCTGTTGGTAAACCACGGTAGTGTGACTGGGTGGGAAGTGAGTAATCTGGATCTGCAGGTGGCTGGAGACCCTCACTCTTTTGGCCTTGCCCCCATGCAGCCCGTGTCCCCCCAGATGAAGCATTTTCAGAAAAGCCTCAGGGGCTAGGGGAGATGAGGAGGTGTGAGGGGCCTATCTGAGATAGTAGCTGAGTTTGGAGACTTATGGGCCTCTGAATTGTTATCTGAACCCCTTTTCTAATTATTGCAAACATCTAATTATACCAGACTGGTCTCCCTAGGATCTGCCCCTCAGCCTGGAGCTTTCTTTGACCTCTGCCTTCACCCAGTCAACTCCTGCTTATCTATCAGAATTTGGGAGTCAGCCCCTAAGTGACTTGCTCTGAGATCTCTCACCCTCACTAAGCTCCCACAGGACACCGACTTAACCTCATCTAGTCCTGCCCCTGTCCCACCCTCATATGTGGATTGCCTATCCACTTGTTCCTCTAGAAGCTAGTGATTGCCTCCCTCCTAGTTTCTGACACTGTACCTGGTGAATAGGAGGTTCTTAGGAAATATTTTCTGAATAAATTGGTGCAAGAATGAACACCTAAGCCTTTCTAAACCTGGTGTTCTCTTATTGATGCAGGTTCACCATTTATAGAATCATGGCATGTCAAGGTGAGGAGGGCCATTAAAGTTTACATGCCCTCTAACCTCTTCCTGACCCTTTTAACTGATGAGAAAACTGCGACCCCAAAAAAGCTGACTAGAACTCATGCAAGGCCAGTTATTACAGGGATTACCAGGCTCTTGTTGTGAGAAGAGCAGAGGGTCAGGCTCACAGGCACCAATGTATGAAAATATGGTGGTCACCCACTTTCACCAGTCAGGAGGAGACTTCGATGAGACAGGAGACATGAAAGCACTTTGTGGACAGTGAAGATCCGCTAAGGATGGGGTATGAATGAATTTATCTTGTGTTTTTCTGAAGCACCCAGAAAAAATCAGAGTGACTGATTTCCTTATGAGGAGCTACATTTGTGAAGAAGCCAGACCTCTGACCTAATCCCCCGGTGGTCAGTCTCTAGCCTGCTCTTCCAGAACTGCACAAAGCACGGATTTCA